TTGGCCGATGCCTAAAGAAATGGTCTCTCCTGCGAACCAACGGGTTTTTTCAGGATTCTTGGCATTTTTAAACTGCTCTTTTTTCCAAGCTTGATTGGGCAATACCCCTCGCACTTCGCCATTTAAATCTATGCCCGTTATCTGCCCAAAGCTTAAAGGGGCCATAAAGTCGTGCATCGCATCTACGCCCATCTCATTGGCCAAAGAGTAGTAATACACATTGCTTGATTTAACGATGCTGCGAAACATATTGACCGCTCCTAATCCCGCATCACCATGGCTGCGGAAGCGATGTTTACCAAACATCCAATATCCTGGATCGTAGACGATGGTGTCGGGCGAGCGCTTATGCAACTCCAGCGCTCCCAGCGCCATAAAGGGCTTATAGGTTGAGCCTGGCGGATAGGTGCCACGCAAGGCGCGGTTGAGCAAGGGGCGGTAAATCGACTCGTTGAGCGCCTTCCAACTCTCGCTATCTATACCCTCGACAAAAATATTCGGGTCGAACGTGGGCTTACTCACAAAAGCCAAGATTTCTCCATTCTCTGGATTAATCGCCACCAAGGCCCCGCGACGGTCACCGAACATATCTTCTACCAATTTTTGTAGTTTGACATCAATAGATAAAACAATGTTCTTGCCCGGCTGGGAAGAGGCCGTGCCCAGCCTGCGCGTGGCGTGTCCCCCTGCGGAGCGTTCCATTTCCTCTACGCCAGTAATGCCATGCAGCTCACTCTCGTAGCGCTGCTCGATGCCCAATTTACCAATGTAGTCCGTGCCACGATAATTTTCTTGGGTCTCTTCGCTGGCCTCTTCTAACGCCTCTTTCTCTTTTTGGTTAATGCGTCCAATATAGCCAATCACATGACTGGCTACATCCCCCAAAGGATACCTTCTAAATAAACGGGCTTGCACCTCCACCCCAGGAAAGCGGTAGCGGTTGGCGCTAAAGCGAGCTACCTCCTCATCCGTCAAACGGGTACGCAAAGGAATAGACTCAAAACTATTGGACTCTGCCCGCAGTTTTTTAAAGCGCCGTATGTCGCGGGGCTCAATGGGCAATATTTTTGACAGCTCAGCGATCAAAGCATCTAAATCTTGCCCATTCGCTTTTGCTGGCGTCACCTCCAGCGTGTAGGCCGAATAATTATTGGCCAAAACCACCCCATTGCGATCGACGATCCACCCTCTGTGCGGCACGATAGGCACGACCGAAGTGCGATTGTTTTCTGCCTGCTCAAAATAAAAATCATGCCGCACAATCTGTAACACCACTAAGCGCACAAGCAAGCAAGCAAAAGCCAGAAGAACAAACCCTCCAGCTACCCACACGCGCCGCTGAAAGCGACGCAGCTCTTGCTCCATATTGCGCAGCTCAGTCATCACGGTCTACTACTAGAGCGGTCTGGGTGAATCAGGCGAAGGTGTGCGGCGCTGCGGCGCTTGCAGCAGCCATGCAGCCAAGGGCCACAAAGCAGTCTCTAAGATCGGTTTGACAAAAACCAACCACCCCGGCCAAGCCCCTCCAGGAATCATGGAGACTAAAAGTAAAACACCCTGTGCCATGGCAAGAATTAAGGCCATTTGCATCATTTGCCCAGCAGGGTTGAACTGAATTAGTCTGCGCTGTAAATATAAAGTGGTAGCTACTGCACAAGTGTATGCCAGCATGTGTTGACCCAAAAGGCTGGAGTAGTAGTACACATCTGCACATGCACCACCCAATAAAGCCGTACCAAAAGCCACATCTTGAGATTGATTGAGTGTCCAAAAAAGCAAAACCAGTAAAAAAATATCAGGTGCCCAAAACCCATTGCGCCCACAGATAAAAAGCAAGCTCATCTGCATGATCATCGCCACTAGCAAGCTGCCATAGACGAAGCGTGACTTGGCGGGGTCGAGTAAACGCTCTGGTCCTGCTGGCATCATCACGGCGCAGCCTCTTCTTGTGGGCCATCAATCGGCGTAAACGTATCCGCTGTGGCGGGCACCACTGAGGGCGGCACGGCATTCTCTGTTCCGGTTTGCCCCGCAGAAGGGGTGCTGCCAGCAGGTTTATTTGCTGCGACTGGCTTTCCATTGGCGCTTGCCGATGGATCCAAAGATGCTGAAGCCAGGGAGATCGGCGGCTCTTGTGTCAGTGCGTGTACATTGAGGTCGCCAGGTGAAATGATCAGCACACTCTGACTGTGCATTTGCGCAAAGGGTTTTGCATAAACTCGCGCGAAGGCCGAATCTGTGCGCCTGGTTTATTGGGTACGGCGGCACAACCGAGGTTGGCGTTATTTCCCTTGGGGGCATGGTTTATAAGGGCAGTGTGCGTGTGGGAGGCGACAAGTTT